AACAGTCAACTCTGTTTGTAAAATTACCACTTTGCGAATTTGTTAGAGAAGAGCCTCTTTGTATGTTTCTCAGCACAGAACGAGGGTTTTTAGGCCGACACGCCCTGCATTTCGTATTGAATAGGAGGATATCAAACGATTGCTAGAATTGTAGAAAAAGGTGCTGTGCCCCAAAGAAGCTATCAGACGGTAATTACCCTTATAGAGCACATACCAACTACTTGGGGCTCTGCATGTAGGTGTATAGCATGCACACCGTCCGCAAAGGGTTAAATCAAATAGGTATGAATGAGGATGCAAAAGCTCCTGCTTAGGTATAGAGACATCTAAAACTAGCATTCTTCACATCCTTTAGTTCCGCTCATGTTCTGATATCATTTTCACAGACTGAGCCCTAGACAAATAGGTTGAGGTTGAAATCGGCGTACATTGCCCACTTAAGAAGGCGGTGAAGTTAATTAATTCAGATAGGCGAATACAGCGATGTATTGCTGCGACTTGGGTCCACAGTGAAGAAGAACGAATTCAGGCATTAATTATCTAATACGTCTAAGGAGCTTTAGAACACTATGGTTACCACTGGAAAAATGAGCTACACACCCGTTTTTCACATCTACTGTACGGATACCAGCATTTCTCCCACTCGAATCGTTCCCCCATCCATCAACAACGAAGGTCTTCCAACTTCTTACGTGTGGCTTAGGTTGTTGCTTGACGAACAGATGAGCGCTTCTGTTGGCAGGACAATTACATCAATTGCACGACACTGGACCTTGGGTTACAGTAGTAATAGAAGTCGGACAACATTCCAAAGTTGTTTTTTTTCTGTACCAATCTTTGCCTTTTTTTTGTAAATAAGTCGAACAAAAACGAGCTTTACTCCGATTTTTAAAAGCCGGTAAAAGTAGTATTGTTATCGAAAATCGATACATTATTGACAATGTTTATTTGTGGCATTTACGGTGTTTGTCAATATTTCAAAGGTTTCATACAGTATTCCCTCAACACATATAGCGCTTGGACATTTAGCGATGGCAAATGTATTGTTGTGTATTAGTCTATTGATGAGTAGTTGATGAATAAGTAATATCCGACGTCTCCACCAAAATGAATTCATGTACACACTGAAAGGGTCTAACAAACTACTTCTCAGCATACCCAGCCTTCAATGCCAAGGCTCAGTCAACCAAGCTGAAGTGCCCTCCCACTATAGCTACAAGGAGTATGGAACCTCATGTGAAAAGTGTTGTACACTCGTAACCATCCAAAGAGCGGAAGCCAGTTTGTGACTTATGGGTTTCGAGGAGGAAAAATGAGGTCTCTGGTAATAATCAATAACTTGACTATGGCTGATATTCGCCATTTATTATGTGAATCATTTTTATCACACATTTGAGATTTTCACGATTGGGCTGCTTTTTCGACAGCAGACGATATTAATAAAGACGATAATCTTCATTAATAAAGTAGTGCAAGAGTTGAGAACTACACATATTTATGGAGAAGGAATTGTTTGCTCAAATCGCGTGCATGCTCGTCATGAAGTCTCCAGGAAAATAGAAACAACTTTCCAGGGATTTATGATGAAGCGTTTTCAGTGCAATGATTGTAATCATAAACGCACGCGATACGCTGAGAAACATCATCTGGCCTCGTTGGACCAGAGCTCACTTATTCAAAATGCTTCCTTTTCTGAAATGTGAGCTACAAGAAAAAAAGTGACCAAATGCACTTCATGACTTTCAAAAAATTGCGCTGTCTTCTTTCAAGAATAGTTGCTTCCGGTTGGCGAAGATCCGAAGGTTCCATGGTTTACTATTCCAATAAATAAAGTTTCCTAAAAGCCGAGATCTCGTAGATGAAATTTTTTAAAATACCCTATTATTTACGCACCATGTGACTCCACATGAGCCCCAAATGTGTCGAAGGCCACGCAACATGAAGGAAAAGTAAACTTGGAGTTTTCGCCGCCCATCAATGTCGCTGAGATGCAAAACGACGTCCCTATTCAATAAAAGCAGCGAAAATCTCATGTAATCTATAAACTTTCTTGTCACATTTCCTCTGAAAATGTAAGTCATTTTAACAAAATTTCCGATCTTTTGAGAAGACGGTTTCGGACTAGTTGAACAAAATAGATTGATGACTGTCATCTGCGTTTTTTTCTGATTCTTTTATCATTTTGGTTTTCCTTTCCTTCTTATTGCTCTCCTGTATCGACATGTAGGCTCTATCCCGCTCTCCAAGCTCACCAAGATTCCCATCGCTCTGGGACAGGCAAATTGGTACCAGACTTGTCTGGGAAAATAACAGCACTGTTAGGGTTGTTAGGGTCAGATATGCATTCAGTCGCCTACAAACGATGCTTAATGAATTCGAATGCTTGGCGCATCCTCAGAGATTGATCAAGGCGGAGAGGTTCACCAATTTGTGCATTCCTTAACCTGTACTTTCGTGTAAGATCCCTGTACACTTGTCTGAAAATTTTCCACTGAGTAGGGGTAATGTGGAATAATTTCGTACTCGCAGCCTTTATATTTGTTTACCTCTATATTCAATTCATGTTCGTGGCCAAATACATTTTGAAGGTTTTCGTCATCGCCTCTGTAAAAAAAATTACACTTTATTCTTCCAAATTTCACATTTCTTTCTACACTGTTTTCGTTAAATAGGTTAAACTCACATAATAAACTCGAAATTTTGTTCTGCATGAGATGTTTTTACTATTCTTTATAAAAAAATAGAGAATAAAGCTCTCGTCGTTCATCACTCCCTCACGGATGCACCATGCATTCGACTTCGTTAAGCATCGTTTAGAGGTTATTGAATGCATATCTGGCCTTTACGATGTCTCGCAGTGGATCACCGATGTATCGAGCCAGTGCTGCTATCCTCCCAGACAGGTCTGGTACCAATTTGCTAGCCCCGGAGGTATGGAAGGCTTGGTGGGCCATGGGAGCGGGGATCGATTTCACGTGTGTGTTGCAGGGTGTCTCCGACCACTGCACCACACATACCTTTAAAGAAGAAAAGAACGCTTGTAGAGATTTGCAGTGAGCCATAATTCGTAGTTTGCGGTAGACTCATCATGAATTTGCAATAAGGAAAAGTTATGGCGCGACAACATTATTCTGAGAGGAAATACCTCAAGAAATAAGCGATAGAGAGAGGCTCTGACCCAACAATCACTTATGGTTACATCATTCAATTCCTACCAACAGATTCTATCTCCTCAAACAAGCTCGCCACCACGATTATTACTGTTTAATTACTACTACGTCGTATCACACCTGACAACGTGCTAACACTGCTCTTAGGAAGTTGGGCACATTACCGTCGTAGTTTAGTGCGAAGGCGCGCCGGCGCAACATTTACTATCAGAGTTCGCACCCATGCCCGTGACGATACCTCATGCACCACTCCGAAAGATAGTGTAGAGATCGAAATTGTCGGAAGACACTGAGGCATGTCACCGCTTTTGCTTCGTTTCTAGGAAAGGTCAGTTGGAGTGTCCCGTTTATTTTCCGCTCACCACCGTTGAAATCGTCATCGAGGTAGACGAGTTGTTAGACGAGTCTCTAGCGTTCATTCAGCGCAAACGATTATCGCTGATACCAATTTTACTTCAGATAACTATCAAATAGATGTTGGTTGCACGGAACAACAATGCAGCAATGCTTTTTGATTTTTTTCTGAACGGCATTCTTTTTGTTGGTACCCCCCTTTTAAGGTCAAACCACGACAAAGCATTAACTAGAGAAATGAGAAAATCCTCTAAAGAAGAAAAGCTCAAATATCGAGAAAAATTTTACTCAAAAAGTTGCTTGGTTACAGATTTATTTGAAAGAAATCTATTCATTGTATTGAACGAGGATGTTCTTGCGACGTACAATCCCATTTGTCTGAAAGCATTAGCAGTAGTTCTGTTGAAGAATCACTGCTGATTAGTGATTTTTCATGCTTCAAGTTTTTCTCTCATCTTTTTCAATCGATTAGAAAATTCATTCCTTCTCAACTTATTAAATTCTCTCCATCGTGCGCTACGGAAGCCCTTGCTCTGGGTTTCTCTCAGCTAGTTTTCTACCTAACGCTGCCATCAGCAATCTGCTGGTCTGCGGATTGACGGAAACTAGCTGGGAGAAACTCAGAGCAAGGGCTTCTGTGCCGCAAAGTGTAATGCGCAAGCCCCTGGAGAGGGAAATCGCGGTTCGATCCGGCCCTGGGTCTAAATTTTGAGGATATCTCAGCGTCGTTGTGGTTGTAATTCACATTATACCCTGCAGCGAAAATTTGTAGTAGGCCGAAAGTAAAAGGTTGACATTCTGTCCATTCTCTTGAACATTATCGCTTTCTTTCGTTCATTCCTACAACTCTTCAAGGTTTCATCATTTCATTCTCTCTTCCTCTCGTTCTTTCCGTTAGTCCTTCCTAACATCGATTTTTTTGTAACTCTCGAAGAAAGAAAATTATCGAACTCTGAGCATATCAGGACGGAATTTTGTCTCCGGTTTCTTCAACAGCACCCATTCGTAGACAATACGATCTTTGTCTCCCATAGTTTCATGATCGAATTTCTAAAAGTGTTTTGTGTTTATTCCTATGTTTTGACATTCGGCTTTACTCTTCTTTACTCGAGAACAAGCGGCTTTGTTGCATATGATCTAGGAAAATAGCCCACATGGATTATGAAAAAATAAACTATAAAAACCCGTTCTTGATGGAATTAAATCTCTGTAAAGTTTTTTTAAGTTTCTATGAAAGATAAAAAGTTCAATTATCTTGCTCAGTGACGAACAAGGCGACAAAAGTTGGGAAGTACTAGAGGAAGCTTTCGGGAAGGAGGACGATTACATCACATGGCGACCTCATGCACTTTCTTGTTTTGTTTCCATTTCCCTTCATTTAAAATTTTTCTTCTTTTTCGTTATATTCACAACCAAAATGCTGTGTTGATAATTGCTAGCAATCTCTGTTAACTAGAGAATTCGAGATAAACAGTACTTCACAAACTTGTCGGAAGCAGTTCGTTCCAATTCTCTGATTGCACATAAAAGTCTCCTACTGCTTTTAGTTTTTGTTTTGTTTAAAACTACAACTATGTAAAAACGAAAACCAAAGCTTTTGAAATTCATCGTACAAGCGAGAGCTCTGCTCACTGAAATTCCTCCTCAAGCACTAAGGCACGACGAATTTAGCCAAAGAAAACGAGTGTGTTGCCTCGATGATATCAGAATTCCTTTGTATTGTAATGAGTAAACTCTTATTTTTTTTCATCAGAGTTTTTTAGATTTTAAAATTTTAATTTAATTTTTTATCGACAAAAATCTACACCGTAGGTTGAGATATTAAAATGTTTATCTGAAGTGGAAAGGTTAATTTTTGGACACGTGTGAGACATATATAACTCACGGCTACGCGTAACTCGTGAAACTTTCTTTAAATCACAGGTAACAGAACCTCGACGAACTGCCCACCATATCAACGTAATACATCGAATGCGTTTACTAGCCTATTTTAGTGCTTCAATAGCCAGTTTTCACAAATCACGAAGACTGGGTGCCGAAACAATTCCAATTCACTGGTAGTTGGCTGGTTAAACAACGTTCTCCTTCGATGCATCATCGGAGGCCATGCTAGGATTGCTTCACTTCATCACTGCTAGCAGGTCGTTATCCATGTTGAGGCCAATGTGGTATATATATACACATATTATATATATACATGTATAATTCCTGGCACTGGCTTACTCCTTGATCTGTTTTTTTATGGAAACAGCGAACTTTTTCTCTTCGCAACTTGAAGGACTGTGTTGAGGCTAAACCGCGGGTATATATTGAAGCTCGGTCATGTTTGTCAGATCAAATCCACAAGTCAACTGCATTCCTGAAACAATCCTAATCGTAAGGTCACAGGCCTCTCTATGATCCACGAGGACAGCAATGGCTCATGGTGAAGATCTGGAAACGTTCCAGCATTGCCATTTTCGAATCATGAAGAAAACATTTGTCGATTTGCACTTAACGTGCTAGCGAGAGATTCTCATGTCGTAGCCGAACCTTATTAAGATCCCGCCATGTCAGTCGATGACGTCAGACAACGAAACCTGAAGCAATGTCGTTCGACACAGTTAAAGTGACAACTAGCCATTCTAAGCCAGGACATCAAAAAAGGTTAGTGCCGTTAGTCTCAAGTTAAGATTATTTCCAATTTAAGTTTGTACATTATACATGAGTGTAATATTAACCTATATCTTTCAGATTAAAAATACTTGACACAAACTATCATGATGTTTTTTCATACTTTCTTTTTGTCCTAATGGAAGCACTTAAATATCTATCAATAGAAGACTTCGCGTCCGATTTACTAGAAGACCTCAGAAATACGCATTAGGTTTAAACAAGATTTGATAAAAAAGAATAAAGTTCTCGGCGTTGACGAATCGTTGGAGGATGCGCCATGCGTTCGACTTCATAATGTATCGTTTGGAGGTGACTGAATGCATATCCGGCCTTTACAATGAGTACTCTACCGATGCATCGAGCCAGTGTTGCTATCATGGCAAGCAAGTATGGCACGACCCCGGAGAAATGGAAAACTTGGTGAGCCACAGAAGCGGGAGTCGATCCCGCGTGTGTTGCTGGGCGCCTCCGACCACTGAACCACACTCGAACTTTGAACAAAAGTTGATAACTTAAAAAAATGTTGTTTTTTAAACTATAATAAAAAAACTTCAGTGGTAAAATGGGTATCAGTGAACACGTGGAATCTTTAATCGCGGATTCGATCTAGCCTAGGGACTAAGTTTTGCAAATATCTCATCATCATCTTGGTTGTATTTCAAATACTACCCTGTCGTTAAAAAAATAGGCAGCAGATAAAAGCTGTAAATTGCAGAAAAATACGGTAAAACGTCTCTTTTCAAGGTCGTCTCACAAGCAAAATACAATAAATAGCTGTGAAACTTTATGGTTGTTTGTGTTCAACTGACTCTCATTGTAACGGCGACGTTAATTTTCTCTCTGCTCTTCAGAATTCCGTATGGTGGATATGCAGTCACTCGAGGAATACAGTTTCCTAAAAAGTAAAACATTCCCTAAATTTCGCGGATAATGGAATATCCTGAGTTTCTAACGATTGACGACAGCTGTAGAACGTTGTTCTCTCTTGCGTTCGTAGTATTGACAAGTAGTAGCTTTCAGTACAGTGAAATTACATTCATTTGCTGATTATGGCTTTGTAGCACTCAGTTTACAGCGTTTGTTTTTTTAGTAGCGTCTAGCCGTTATTGGAATGATAATCATTGAAGTCTTTATGTAATAAAGATACCTTTAATGGCGAACGCCATCGGATGTATGGTGTTATTCATGATGGTCATGTGGTAGGTGACGTTATCGAAATCGAACGGAGCGTTAAAAACCTGACATTTATATTTATAATGTAACTTTTATCATTTTCCAAGGTAATTATGGCCTAATATCACTACCAGGCGATCTAATGGACGGAATATGACTTCATGAATGTTAACAGCTGGATTGATTGTAACGTTTTCAATACCGAGACCATCAGAAATTTTGTAAAAGTCGTCAGATTCCATAGGATTTTTCTCTCTATTTCGTTCAACACCTGAATGTTTGAATTTCATCGATGGAATTATCTAAAGCAGTTTTTACCTAGAAAAAGCGGTGTAGGTTAAAAATCTCAAAAACGGAGAGAGATACCCTGCATGTCAGTAGCGCTTGTAGTAGGAAGTGCCCCACCATTCCNCTTTAATCGCGGATTCGATCTAGCCTAGGGACTAAGTTTTGCAAATATCTCATCATCATCTTGGTTGTATTTCAAATACTACCCTGTCGTTAAAAAAATAGGCAGCAGATAAAAACTGTAAATTGCAGAAAAATACGGTAAAACGTCTCTTTTCAAGGTCGTCTCACAAGCAAAATACAATAAATAGCTGTGAAACTTTATGGTTGTTTGTGTTCAACTGACTCTCATTGTAACGGCGACGTTAATTTTTTCTCTGCTCTTCAGAATTCCGTATGGTGGATATGCAGTCACTCGAGGAATACAGTTTCCTAAAAAGTAAAGCATTTCCTAAATTTTGCGGATAATGGAATATCCTGAGTTTCTAACGTTTGACGACAACTGTAGAACGTTGTTCCCTCTTGCGTTCGTAGAGTATTGACAAGTAGTAGCTTTCGGTACAGTGAAATTACATTTATTTGCTAATTATGACTTTGTAGCACTCACTTTACAGCGTTTGCTTTTTTAGGAGCGTTTAGCCGTTATTGGAATGCTAATCATTAAAGTCTTTATGTAATAAAGGTACCTTTAATGGCGAACGCCATCGGATGTATGGTGTTGTTCATGATGGTCATGTGGTAGGTGACGTTATCGAAATCGAACGGAGCGTTAAAAACCTGGCATTTATATTTATAATGTAACTTTTATCATTTTCCAAGGTAATTATGGCCTAATATCACTACCAGGCGATCTAATGGACGGAATATGACTTCATGAATGTTAACAGCTGGATTGATTGTAACGTTTTCTATACCGAGACCATCAGAAATTTTGTAAAAGTCGTCAGATTCCATAGGATTTTTCTCTCTATTTCGTTCAACACCTGAATGTTTGAATTTCATCGATGGAATTGTCTAAAGCAGTTTTTACCTAGAAAAAGCGGTGTAGGTTAAAAATCTCAAAAACGGAGAGAGATACCCTGCATGTCAGTAGCGCTTGTAGTAGGAAGTGCCCCACCATTCCCTGAGGCTTCACAGTACTCGCTCTGAAACAATGTATTGCATGTTTTTAGATTTAAACATATAAGCGGACACAATGTATTATTTAAATCTTTTTAGTTATCCATGCTAAAAATACTAGAAAAACTGAATCAGTATGGGAAAGGATGATAGACTTCAAATTTTTGCACATCGAAGGTGTCATAACATTGTTTTTAGCGTTCGAATACAACAACAGTAGTAGCTCATCAGTAAAATAACACTTAGCTTAAGGATTCGGAACCGCAATAAATAAAATTGTTACAATTATGAAATATAAGCGTCGGTTACCTTCTTCTGTTTGGGAGTCTCACCACTGGGTTCCTGTCCTTCTCCTGGAGTCGTTGGTATTGCAGTGTGTGTGCTCTCGCCTTTTTTCTGCTCGCCTTCAGGTCCAGATGGGGTTGCAGCCTCAGTGCTTCCTTCTTTCTTGAGCTCATCTCCAGGTTCAGATGGGATTGCAGTTTTAGTGCATTCTTCCTTCTTTGATTCACCTCCAGGTTCAGATGGGATTGCAGTTTTAGTGCATTCTTCCTTCTTTGATTCACCTCCAGGTTCAGATGGGATTGCAGTCCTAGTGCTTCCTTCCTTCTTTGACTCATCTCCATGTGCACATGGGATTGCGGTCTTGGTGCTTTCTGCTGTCCTTGCTCCATTTCCAGGCTGAGATGATACTCCAATGCCAGAACTCGACTGCTCGAATTCTATCTGAATTTAAAAGTAACTAAGTAATAATGTATGAATATATATGTGCGCGCATATGTGCTATTAAGTATCATGCTTCACATATATGCATTTGCTTCCCTATTTCGCTTGCTACCGACTAGTGAACATTCCCAATCATATTACATTCCAGTCGAAAAATAGGATTAAGAAGTAGCTCGATACCAGTTATGAGATTTCGTCACTTACTAAGCAAGCGTTTGCTCTCAGGTTTTTCAGTTGGAGTATAATCACCCTTTTAAACTTTTCGAACTCACTGTCTGTAGTATATAATGCTGAGATATTTGCAAAACTTTGGACCGCAGGTGTATGCGGTGAGGAACGAACGCGCGCTATTGTCCTTACCGGGGAGTAGCGCACTTCACCACCAATCACACCATCCGGGTCCTTCGTTTTGCCTGTCTCTCAGCTAGTTCTATTCACTGTCTGTTGTTTCTTATAAATTTTCTGCTTGGTGGCGCGCAACTTTATTGGAATATGGCTGAATGATTTCCGCCCATTTATCAAAACGATACATTCTTCTTAATCGAAGGCGAGAAAATTCGAAAGAAAAGTCCACGCAAATAGTGCAAACTCTGCTAATGGAGAAGCTGTTACAAAAGATTAAAGGAATAAACCGTTATGCGTTATCAACCACTATAAAATGATTTACGCAGCCCAGTCAAGGTATCAATTCAATGCTGGCATCCTCCTAAACAAGTCTGCCATCAATTTGGATGTGTTCAACTGTCCCAGGGAGCAGGGTCGAACCGAAGACCCACGTGTATTGCACGGTACCCAAAAGCATTGCGCAAAACGCGTACCAACATGAACAATGCGTAGTTATCTACGTCCTGCTGGTGAACACCTTCGTTTCCGTCTACTATTGGGACATGGACGAGATTCTCTCAGTAGTTAAGGATATAAGAAGGAATCTCTTAAGACGAGGTAAATCTTTAGGAAATCCTTGTGTAATATTCAAAAAGGGAAAAGAACAGAGCGAAAAGTAGGGATTTGTCTTGTATAACTTTGACTAGAAACTATCGCCTTCTTTAACCAGAAAACGTTACTTAGTTCCCGGAAAGATTTTACAAATTGGTTACATAAGCTAAAAATTTGATCATGTCATGGAAAGCGTAACTGAAACGGGAGGCAAACCGATAAGAAGGTTAAAAATTTTTCTGTTGTTCATTTAATGTGTATCCCAGCATAGAGATATGTTGAAAACGCAGTTTCATTATTGAATTTTAGAGCCGTCTTGTTCTGCTAGTGAAAAAGTTATTTTACTTTGCTTTTATTATCTCAAAAACCTCGTTCGCAGTTTCTTTTTTCTTAGCTTTCAAATACAACCGGAGCTGGAGAATACCACAGTTGGCAGAAATGAGGTGTCTTACCACAACACATCTGGTGTCTGGGTTGAGTGCACGTAGAACCCCGCTTTTATATGATCGATATGCATGGAATGCATTACTCGTTTTGTAAAGGCATGAGCGAGACTGTTGATTAGCCGGTTTGATGTAAAAGCTATCGGTATCAGTGTTCGTTATTCCGATTAGATGTGACATGAAAGGAGGTTTCTTGTCGTTATTCTGTACATAGAGCTATAAAAATTATTTCATATCAGAAACGTTCAAATTTGTTTTCCAAGTTTTATGTCCTAACAAAAAACCCAGTTAGGCTAAAAGAATAAATGAAAAGATGTTTCTAAGTGGTGGACAATCTTTAGACGCATTTTGAGCGAATAAATGGCAGGAATAAATACGTGAATAAGTGTTATTTTTTAGATACCTCCTATTACGAGTACATTACTGCAGTCCTTCTGCACCCTAGTAAAAATTTTATTTGATATGAAGTGGATTTATTTGTAACTTTTGGACCTAATTTTTAGAGCTATTTTAAGTTAGTTTTGGCATACATTTGGCTCGCCTGAAGCGGATTCTTTCCCTCCAACTGGTATCTCTGGGATGCTTCTCCTCTTCCTCCTTAACTTCACTAGTATTAATTTTTCGCTCCTTCTTTAACTCTTTTTCGTAATGCTCATATGGAAACGAGCTGTTTTTTCTACGGAGTCAAGTAATTAACTGAGAACTCCAATATTGCAATATTTCCTACGGCTTCTCTGGTCTAGGAGAGTGTTTCCCACTGAGTGCATCCATTTCATCCTTGTTGAATATCCGATTTTCATCAGCTACCTAGAAAATTTGACACATTTTTTTGCAAATGCCTAACTTCGTCAGTACAGTATGGACTGCTAAGTCCGTAGAATTGAAGTAGGAGAATGCTTTGTTTCACCTTTCCATAAATCATCTCTCTGATCCTGTCAACCAGTCTAGAAGGTTCCTAATGCTCATATGGAAACGAGCTGTTTTTTCTACGGAGTCAAGTAATTAACTGAGAACTCCAATATTGCAATATTTCCTACGGCTTCTCTGGTCTAGGAGAGTGTTTCCCACTGAGTGCATCCATTTCATCCTTGTTGAATATCCGATTTTCATCAGCTACCTAGAAAATTTGACACATTTTTTTGCAAATGCCTAACTTCGTCAGTACAGTATGGACTGCTAAGTCCGTAGAATTGAAGTAGGAGAATGCTTTGTTTCACCTTTCCATAAATCATCTCTCTGATCCTGTCAACCAGTCTAGAAGGTTCCANGAAGCGGATTCTTTCCCTCCAACTGGTATCTCTGGGATGCTTCTCCTCTTCCTCCTTAATTTCACTAGTATTAATTTTTCGCTCCTTCTTTAACACTTTTTCGTAGTGCTCATATGGAAACGAGCTGTTTTTTCTACGGAGTCAAGTAATTAACTAAGAACTCCAATATTGCAATATTTCCTACGGCTTCTCTGGTCTAGGAGAGTGTTTCCCACTGAGTGCATCCATTTCATCCTTGTTGAATATCCGATTTTCATCAGCTACCTAGAAAATTCGACACATTTTTTTGCAAATGCCTAACTTCGTCAGTACAGTATAAACTGCTAAGTCCGTAGAATTGAAGTAGGAGAATGCTTTGTTTCACCTTTCCATAAATCATCTCTCTGATCCTGTCAACCAGTCTAGAAGGTTCCAAGAAAAGCATGAGAGCAAATAAAAGCTTGAAATCGTAATAGAGAGGAATCTTTTCTAATTCATGATCGCCAAGTGTGAGAATGCCAAAAATGCTCCTGCAAGAGAACGGATTAAGCATCGTTCTTCCGGATGATTTCACTCAAGGGGCTAGAACTAAAGTGCCAAAATGTGTGTTACTTCAGTTAAATAGAAAGATTTAGTTGATTTTGTATGAGAGTTATGTTCATACAGATTTGCGTTGCTGTACTAAATGTTTCGAGGTTCAACTTGTAAGATCTTTCTCAGACGATCGGCTAACTAATGGGAGGACTCGCTCTCTTTCACAGGATTCGCTTTCATCCAGGATGATTGCTAGTCGCAATCAAACAAACTTTCTTTCCACCGACAGTGGGTGACAGTTACCTTTGATGGCGAACTGTGAAAACATTTGCATGGTTATCATATATTTTTAAGAAAAAGCTCGCTGACGATTATTTGTCCTCTCAGTTATGACAAAAGTTGGCAGATTTTCCGGTCACAATGGAACGAAGCTCACAATTTCTAGGGATGTTGATTGAAAGACAACGAAACGGGTGTGGGAGTGAACACCTAGCGTCACTATGTAGGAGACTACTATTCATCTATGGCATTAAATAGGTATAAGTAAATGCTCACGGATCTCCCTCATATGAGGGACCTCGAGCCGGCTATCAGCGAGGCTAAGCGGCGCGTCCCACCGTGGTGGATAGGGAGTTAATCGCGGACCGAAAGCGATCTCTGCTTCCCTGAGACGCAGGTGGATCCAGGGGATGGACTCCCTGTTTCTGCTGCGCCGATTTGGCACGCACTTTCTGTATTTGCTAGGCGTATTCATGCATGCGTGTGTGCGTGCGTTCTCGCTTATGCGGATTGTATTCTATGATTCAATTCGGCCAAAATCCTGCAATCAAGTGGCTGGGAAGTATATGGGAGGCGGTTAGGAGTCGCCTCTAATGGAAGTTGCCTGAATTACAAAGAATTATGATAACGATCTGTACCTACAGTGCACGCACACTTGCATCCGAGTCCTCGATAGAACACTTGCTCATGCAAGCAAGAAGGGTAAGGCATGACGTCACCGGCGGTGCCACTCATTCAACGCCGTCTATGACACCGGAGCAGAACTGTTCCTCGGAACAAGCGACAGTAGAGTAGTCGGCGGTGTCGACATTCTCGTCAACACGAACTTGTCCATGAGCATCGATTCATACGAACAACTTACAATCCGAATCGGACGTTTGGGTTTAAAAAGATGTGGATCAATACCGGCTTTGACAACCTTCGTCGCTTAGGCGCCGACGTCCAGCTATGAAGAAGAAGTCGAACCGTTGTATATGGACATGGAGAAGTTCTACAGAGAAGACCATACATTCTTCAAAGTCATCACTGGAGATTTCAACACCAAAGTTGGACCGAGAAGAACGTTTGAAGGACGTCACATTGGGACTCACGGATTAGGATGGAACGAACCGGGTGCGCCTGCCTGAGTATATCATGGTGACCAAAACAATCCATGGTAACTAGCAATTCCAGAAACCCTTCAGGTTGGATGTGGAGGTCTCCCAATAGAGAGTACCATAACGAAATAGACCATGTCATAGTGAATAAAGGGTCTTGCCTAACCGATGTCGCTGTTGTCCCTAAACTCTACAAAGGATCAGGCCACCTTCTCTTTCGTACAAAATGCTATTTTTCGCACCAAGGAGAAAAAGCCGCTAAATTCAAAAAACGAAATCCCAGAACCACCATAAACTGGAACTTCTTCAATTCATTAGTCGGCTGTTAGGAAGATGCCATTGTCGACAATATCGACGAAGAGTACGATCGGCTCATTCAACATCTTCACCTTAGCGCTATGAAAACTTCGAGTTCGAAAGTCACCAAGAGACGCCTGCCTCCAGAAAGTCTCGAGCTGATACGCCAGCGTGGAATCGCATGGGCTGCAGGCAACCGCAAACTAACGTCCGAACTTGCAAAACAATGTAGACAGGCGATAAAAAAATTTTAAAGACAGAAGAACAGCAATAATGTACGAAGCTGCAGAGGCTGGGAGAAGCATTCGTAAAAGTCCACCGAAGTTTCGCCAATTACAAGACCAAGATGATGGCACTCCGGCGCCCAGACAGAACAGTTACAGCGTCCAGAAAGGCAATGGAGAAAATTATTCCCGATTACTACTCAGATCTCTTCGATAGCCACGTCCACTTTTCGTCATATGAAATAAAAGAGGATGGGGATATAGTGAAGAGGATCAGTACTTCCTGCCCTAACGAATGCGTCAGAAATCTGGTCGCTTCGTAAGATGGATGAAAGATCACTCACCGTTATTGAACGTTCAGTCGAAAGGGCGATGCTAGGAGTATCTCGTTTCACACAAGTAAGTGAAGGGATCCGTAGCTCCGATCTGCTTCAGCCATCAAAAATTAAAGATGTCGTTCTGTACGCCAAACAGTCGAAGATGAGGTGGGCCGGACCGTAATGCGTATGAATGACAACCGATGGACAAGAGCCGTTACTAACTGGTTTTAGGACTTTCCGAGCAATTCAAGGCCTATTCATCTATACTTTGCCGCACTTGAATAAATCATGTTGCTTGCTCATTCTTATGCTAGCGCAGTTCCTATCTTTGGCAAATTATATTCTTCGGCTAGCTTGAATAAATTTCTTTAGACGACAAAGGAAGAATTTGGCGTAAAGATTTCGCAAGAAATGGATTTGTCCGGGGCCCACTTTTCAGGGCAGCGTAGTGGTTAAAGGTACCCTGCAATACACAGTGATCGGTTCGATAAAATGCTTTGGGCCATTCAAGCTATCCATCTTTTATGGATTAGCAAATTGCTACCAGACTTGTCTGGATAGATGAAAACACTGGCTTGATTGATCGGCAGACTTTGCCACTTATTGTTTAGGGAAATATGCATTCAATCATGGCTTAGATGCTAAACAGATGACATGCATGGCTCATCCCTAAGGGATTGGTGATCGTTCACATCACCTCCAGTCGTTAGTAAGAGTTGTACGAGTAGAAGGAAGTACTTTACTGAGATCCTATGAATTAATATCGTAGTAGATTTTCGCTAAACAAGCTTATAATCTATTCAACTATAAATTGTTGTCACTTTTATCCAATAACTGTGATTTCGCTGCATACTACATTCTGATGNAGTTGTACGAGTAGAAGAAAGTACTTTACTGAGATCCTATGAATTAATATCGTAGTAGATTTTCGCTAAACAAGCTTACAATCTATTCAACTATAAATTGTTGTCACTTTTATCCAATAACTGTGATTTCGCTGCATACTACATTCTGATGGTTAGCAGACGATTATGTAGTAAATCACAAAGGAAATTCGTTAGGAACTGAAAACTTGTGTCAAGTCCGAGAAACCTCCTTTCAAGTTGGTGTGCTAAGCCGTTCGTAGGAAAAGAAATGCAGTGTGTTCTGCGTCAAAATCTAGTTGTTTCAAATCCTTAGAACACAAATATAATGACAAATGACGACACTCATAGATTTTTATTAAATTAAGCTTTATTAGCTACTATGGCTCGACATGCGATATCGATGGTGATGGGAAAATTGCACGGCACTAAAATATTCCACAAAGTTGTGATCATTTCTTAGTAATGTGGGCTGTCGGAACGGGATCGCTGTGTGTTTCGATGTCTCGTTTGCAAATCTGGCATCCGCCCTCAGAAACACGCAATTCTTCCTATGTATGACGTGACGATGCTGAATCTCTTACAGCACACACATCGCTACGATGTCGACACAACGTCTTCACTACGTCCTAACGAAGGCGTATTTCACGCGATCGTTGAAGACGTCTGTAATGGTGTGTTCGTTCTTGTACTGCACCGAATATCACGTCGAACTGATATTAAAGCATAAATTTATTAAAAGTTGATGTTTAGCCTTGTTTCCTTTTGTAAACGTCTTTTCTTCCAGTTTTCGAATTATACTGCTTGTCCAAATAGAATTCTGTTGAAGATATGCAATCTTGTTGCCCACAATGGAAGATGAAAAGCGATCCATTTCATGACCAAGTGTTACTTCCGTATTCATTTCGATGAAACGAACAAATCGTTAGAACTTGTCGTCTTTAAAAGCTGCTGTCAAAAAGTTCGTCTCGGAAACGTCATCGCCATCCCAAAGTAGATTATGGTCAATAGCCCTCTATTATATTGGATTAGCAAGGCGAACCATAGCAATTTACTAAATATCATTAGTCCATTCCCTGTATCGTAAACTATTCTTAATAGACGCGCTAAGAAAATTTTTCTTTATGGTAGAAAAAAGGAAACAAGAGAAAATTCTGAACTACTGTAAATAGAATTCTGAATCATTCTTTGCACCAAGTTTCAATCAGATTGATAACATTTCTTATATATCTACTTCTGTACCGACTAACCAGTAGATGATCATATCTTCTCTCGGGGGTGCTTCTTTCGGATAACAAAAAGTGGTGACCAGTGGCACTGTCAGCATAATGGAGTTACAGACAGCTCTTGCATAATTCGTGATCGTGCATATCACTATCACCAATCCGGAGGTTGCCATTGCCAACTGAAACATGACGCCCGGCTTTTGTGATAAGTGATTATTATTTTTATTTCTGTTGGTATTATTTTCGCTACTAATATTTACACGGCCCTCCATCATATCTACTGCGCGGATTTCAGCGCTTGTCGCATTCGATTCGTATTCCCCATATTCATCGTCCGCAATGGTCTTCGAATATTTCACGTGGTTTTGGCTGATAGTTGAGGATTTCACCTTCTTCTTATGAATGTCGTAGAATGCTGGTCAAGTCGATTTTCTTTGCAACCTTAAAGATAGCCGTGCTAAGACATGCCCACATAAATTGGGGAAAAGCGTTGTGGAGGTGTCAAACCATAGCCTTGCTTTCTGATGGATCACGTCACTAACCAGTCCGCTGTCTCCTATTTGAAGAGAGATGGTGGTGTTTAACTCAAAACCTGCTTCTAATAATTTTCGCTGCTGTTGTAATTTTCTTCTGTTTCAAACAGCACAATTGTTTCTCGCTTTTGTTTTCTTTTTCTGGTAGGTTACCAAGCACTTCCATTTTGCCTGACATAATTATTTTCTCTCATGGACAAGAGTCCTACATAATTTGAATACCTTTCCGTTCGCATTGGAAAAATTTATGGTTTACAATGACTTTCTAATAATTATTTTCTGCTAAAATTTCCTTTGAGCTTTATGCGGACCACTTTGGAAGTGAAACTTGTTTATGTTTAAAGTTTAAGTTTAAAGTTTAAAGCTTAAGTTTAAGTGTTTAGTTTAAACTTTGTTTATATTCATCCTAGGCTCGTCTCTCACCTTTGTATTTCTCGCTACCAATAAATAATTGAGGCAACATGGCTTAACCACGTTCTTTCTCCTCTTCATTTCATTACCGTGTGCCTTTATTTTAAAAAAAAGTTTTCTCTAATTTTTTGTTTATTTCTCTTGTGTCTTTCCATCCTATAGGATTTGCCTATACATCAATATGGCCACCGTTTTTCTACCTGGTTCTTTATCCCACTACTCCTTCAATGCACGGCAGCTTTCCATGAGTCCGTTCTCTAAATTCCGCCCTCATAGATTTTTCGGCGAGCGTTTCTTTTACTATTTCTACGTTGCTATTAACTGCTAATTCTAAGCTTTTTTTTGTTAACAGTTATTTTTTATAGTGAGAGTAACATCCACTTGATGTGTTAGTCCTTTTTCTTATTGAATTCCTGCATGTCAACATTTTTTTAAAAGAAATTCCTTGGTTTTCCTAAAAATTTTCCTTTTCGTCGCAACAGTTTTTATTGGAAAATATTGGACAATCTGCAAGTTGGTCTTACTGCATTTTTGATTCACTCCTTTCTCTAGAAAATCTCTTTAGTCTTAATCGCCTAATGCAATTCATCAACAACGTAATTACTTCCTATTCGTTGAAATTGGAATTCGTTAACATTCCTTTGATGAATAGGAATGACTTAATAGAGGCGCATAGTTCATGCTTCATTGAGCGTTTTCGCCATGGATGGTGGTGTTAATTCTCATAATGTCTCCATATTGTGAGTCAGCCAGATTGCAATGCAAAACCTTCTAATTTTGCAACATGACCTGACCCATAGTCAGCAGAAATCATCACCTTAGGTTCGGGAAAACTAGGGTTTTGTCCATTGCTTAAAGTTACGCCTGTGATCTGATCCATGATCCTTGTCTGGATGCTTCGCTACCGGCTAAGGTGACCATCAGTCCTGGAGTGTGAGTGGATAACGACACAAACGTTTTACATTGGTAGGCCACAGCAAGTCATTCTTTAGGACTAATATGATCTCAATCACTTCTACGACACTAGGAATGAGACGAATACATATAGCACTCTTAAGATACTAGTCAAAGTCTAACGCTATCATTTTATCCTTGAGCTTTAGATGTATTGTTAGCAAAGTGAAAATAGAAATAATCCATCGTGGCAATGATAATCAAAATAAACCATTGTATTTAAAAACTCGCAAAAGCTGGGCGGTGGTGTTTGATATCGTCATAAATCACCATAAAATTCCGACATCGTTGTTCACATTTGGTTTGCTGAATAGGTTTCGATAATAGAAGGATACAGCAGTCAACATAAATTCCCTTACGAAAAGTGTGCACAAAGGACAATGTCTATGAGTGTATAACTGGTCTTCCCTCTCTCTCTGCAGACATAATACACTTCATCAGTCTTGTATTGTTCCAATAGTTGTGCACTGTCCTGCAGAATTTCCGCTTCCTTTACACAACTGAATTAATGTCTCTATGTATCTTTCTGTCCGTATCCATTCAAAAAAAAATTTCGCAGGCTCTCCATAATCCTCTGAGAAGAGATTTCATGTGGCAAAAGGATTTGCATACTCCAGCTAACTGCCAAATAAGTTAGGAAAACTAGTTTACTATTGCTTTGTTGTATGCTCTTCTTTTCATAAACTCTAGAAGCTAGTTACAACGTTTATCGTCGTTCCTCACTATCAATTTAAAACAGAACTTGTTCCTCACTCTTCGATATCGCCTCCGTGTTAGTCAACAACTCGGCACAATCTCTAGATCTTCTGAGCCTATGATCCTGATTCCCTTACCTTTCAGGTGATGAATAACACTAACGCACCAAAGAGATCGCTTTGTAGATTCATATTAAAAAAAACCTTTAAGCGTGAAAAGTGGAAATTTATGTGTTATTTGTTTTGTGCTCTGTTCCGCGTTAATATCACCTTCATAGACAAGACTCGTTTNCGTCGTTCCTCACTATCAATTTAAAACAGAACTTGTTCCTCACTCTTCGATATCCCCTCCGTGTTAGTCAACAACTCGGCACAATCTCTAGATCTTCTGAACCTATGATCCTGATTCCCTTACCTTTCAGGTGATGAATAACACTAACGCACCAAAGAGATCGCTTTGTAGATTCATATTAAAAAAACCTTTAAGCGTGAAAAGTGGAAATTTATGTGTTATTTGTTTTGTGCTCTGTTCCGCGTTAATATCACCTTCATAGACAAGACTCGTTTAAATACCGAAGGAAGAAGCTGATATGCTCGTTGAGGTGGAGTTCGGCATGGATATCTCATGTTGATTGCGCTTTATTCATGTTCTTCTGAACTCCTCAAATAGTGAGGCTGTTCAAAGTCTATGAGCTTCGGTACTTCGGTATACAAGATCTGAACTGGAGGTCTGGAAAATATTCCACATTTAATGCTCAGCTTAGAAGTGTTAGACATTGCTAGCGAAAGCCCCTTGCCTTGAGCACAAAACTGCTTCTTCATGTTCAAAATGTAAGTGCTGCTGGAACAATTGTTTTCGAGTGACAGTCCGGAAAGCTCACCATCATGCTAATGCGTCTATCTAATCTAACTCCCGTAGCAAATGGACTCTGATCTTCCAGTAAGAAATTTAATCATTCTTATCGTTTTTTTGCTCATTTTGGAAAACTCTTCAATGTAACTGAACGCTTCACTCCATCGTTACCAGCTTATTAAACACATTGGCCGATAAATGGTTTTTTTTCCTTTATATTTGTTCACTCCGCATTTCTTGAAACTTTCCAATAATGTCTCGAATTCAGCTAAATCATGCCTATTCAATATAAGGCGGTGAAAACCATCTTGTTTTCATCCCTGTAAGCTTTGTTTCGCCTAGACATCCAGATGAATGTTTTGCATTCAACGTCAGGTAGACAAAAATCTCAGTACTTATGATGACGTTCGCTACAAAATACCTGTAATTTGATCGGATTATGGTGACGGTCACGTTTTTACGTATCCTTAATGTTCATCAACTCATTGGTTTTCCAATCGCTCTATATCATCACCTACCGTATCCTCGTCTATATTGGTTTCACTCGACAATTTGCTTAATAGTCGTGCTGTCCACCATTCCTGAAAAATGGTTGTCGATTTAGTGCATTAACGACTAGTAAATAATAAAAAACCAAATCAAATCCCCGTACTTTTCGTCAATGTCAGCCTATTTAGTTTTTCAATGTAGACTGCTGAGAAAGGCTGTTGTACTCGTCGTGAACCCGTGTTTCAAGCACCAAAGAGTCACCTTGATAGTTGCAGAATCTCTACAGCTCATTCATTCTTCGTGCTGATTCAAAGTTATTCCCCAGTTCCAATTTTCTGTCGGCTTTATTTCGCTCTTAAATTCAACGCTTTCAGTTGCAAACTTCGAAAATTTTTTTGCTATAAACTCGTTTACCTAACAAAGTTACAGTCTCTAGGTTTTTTCGTTTAGTTTTCACTGGGCGAAAACGATTGTGATCCTATTGTTACTCTTTACAGCACGCACACCCATGCATCATCATCGTCACCATCATCATCACCATCGTCGTGGCTCTGATGTCGACGATGTCCTATCCACAAGAAAAGAACACATTACGGTTAGTGAACCACTGGCCATATCGGTTTTCTAATATTTTTTGTTGCTTTTAGTATTTTTCACTATTATTAATACCACTGAAGGCCAATATAAGTCAGGTGAGATATTTATCAGAAGCACGCACCATGATGAACATAGAGAATGTTGGTTTCTTAATGAATTAAGTGTAAAAATCTGCATGTCTTCCGAAAAAACACGGAGAATGATTTTTCAATCTGCTTGATTTTTCAACAACTGAATGGAAAAGTCATCTATACATTTCTAATACATGGACGCTAGACTCCACTAGCTAATCAATATCCATATTTTGTGTGGCGCTATATATTATTCCGTTCAGTAAATGATTATTTGCCGTGGAATTTTCTGTGGATTTGTGGTACATTCGCCGCTTGGAGGACGAGATATCCTTTCTATGTGAAAGATGAACGTCAAACATTTTTTTTATCTCACCCTTTCATTTCTAAAGCGATATGGCTTGCTGTCACAGAAGCGACAGTTGCTGTATTCACCCTATCTTTCCTACCTTTCATCTGAATGACAACAAGTTTCTTTCTTCAGTGTTCATATTTTGTTTCTATGATGTAAAGCGTCGAGTGTCCGGATTTTAATTCAATAACTCTATCCCTAGGCATTGCTAAGCCGAT